CGCGCACTTGGCTGGTGGCGGCGAGCTGGAGCCCCTGGTCAGGCTCACCTCCTCTGGCTGTGCCAGGAAAGCCGACGAGCCACGCCGTGAGGAGGGAGCCCCTCGCACCAGGGTTCGGTTGACGGCGCGAGAGCAGGCCTACCTGAGGTCCCTTATCATCGATGGGCAGTGGACTCAGGCGCGCAAGGAGGAGAAGGGGCTGACGACCAGTGCTGAATGCTTGAGGCGTGGCGCCAGGGGCACGCTGATGCACAGGCATTTCGACTGCCCGTGCTGGAGTGAGGTGCTGACGGTCCCTGAGGATTTGGCAGGCCTCCGAAGGCAGAGCGGAAAGCCTGAGGTGCAGCTGCTGCTAGAGAGGTGTCTGTGGCCTACGCCACGGGGCATCTGCCGCCCGCCAGTGTGCAGCGACGTGTGCTGGAAGGGCGACCACGATGGAGGCACTCTTCCTGAAGGTGAGCTGTTTCTCGACGGCTCGGCGTTCGAGGCGGACTACGAGGAGGTGGCGGCAGTTGGCTGGAGTGTGGTGGCGCTGCAGGCGTACAGTGACGGCTACAGGGCTTCCATCGCTGGCCAGATGGAGGGCCCCTGCGTGGACATTAACGGCGGGGAGCTCACGGCAGTGATCATGGCGCTCAGGTTCGGCCAAGGGGTCACGGTGCTGGTGGTCGACTCCAAGTACGTGCACGACGGCTTCTACAAGGTCGGCAGGGCAGGCACCACGGGCTACGCGTACACGTGGGCTCACCTGTGGCGGCGAGCCTGGGACCTGCTGGACGAGCGAGGAGGGCTCGGGCATGAGGTCAGCCTCAGGTGGATGCCCAGCCACAGTACGCGGCGGCAGGTGGCGGCAGGCGAGGTGCTGTACAGAGATTGGTACGGCAACCGACTGGCAGACAGAGCGGCAAAGGCTGCGGCGGCCAGCGGGCGCCTCCCCGCGCGGGACAGAGAGCGCCTGGAGAGGAGCCGAGACGTGGTCGAACGGGTAGCCATGTGGTGCGCGGCAGTCGGCAGCTGGATCGACGGCAGCGACACCACGCACGGCAAGACGAAGGTGCAGCGAGCGTTGCCAGTGCGCAGGGAGCCAGCGGCGAGGATGGCCTGTGTCTGGCGGAGGCCGCCTGGACAGCGCCCCTGGTGCGAGGTTTGCAGATGGTCAGGCAGATCGGGTGAGTGCCCTGGCAGCATCGTCGCCGAGGCGATCAGGGCCAACAACAGGCTGAAGGCGCAGCAGAGGGCGTCGCACGACCTGGTGCTGCTTGCGCCTGTGGATGGGAGGCTGCTGGTGCGCAGGATGCCGCTGGTCGCGTGCAGGGCGTGCGGGTTCACAGGCGCGGCCAGGGCGAGCTCCTTCCACCTCGAGTGCAGGAGAGTCCCGTCGGCTGCAGGGGCCGCCGCAGTCGCGAGGTTGAGGAAGGGGCTGGCTCCGAAGGTGGTCAGCGAGGTGGCAGTCAACATCACGGCGCTGGCGGACGACGTGAAGGAGGGGAGAGGCCAGTCGCCGCGGGGCATCGCAGAGGAGGAAGACGGCCACTCCCTGAGGTCGCCAGGAGGGGCTCCAGGTGGTGGGGCAGAGGAGGAAGCGGGCTCACTGCGCCCCCTGACCCCTGAGGGCTCCAGAGCGGCGGCTGGTCTGAGAGGACAAGCTGGAGGCAGGCGTGCAGCCGTGGCGCACCAGGCCGAGGCAGGTGACGAAGCTGGGCCTGCGGGCGGCGGCGGAGGGCCAGGCCCGCGGCGCCGCACGCGTGTGCGCAGCCGATCGCTAAGGCGAGCCGCGCTGACGCCGCCCTCGAGGTCGCCGAGGCGGGCGGCCAAGGTGGCCAAACAGCAGCAGGATGAGAGCCAGCGGACGGAGGCGGGCCCTGCCGAGGGAGGCAACGAGGTGGCCACAGGGGCCAGCAGCGGCGGACCGCCCCCGCCGATGATGGCGGACGACGCGCAAGGGGAGAGGGGCCAGCCGCCGCAGGACACCGCGAGGGAAGAGGACAGCCACACCTTGCGCACGCCAGAAGGAGCTCCAGGTGGCGGGGAGGATGTGTGCTTCCTGCGCCCCCTGACCCCTGGGGGCTACCGCGCTGCGGATGGCCCGAGAGGGCGAGCTGGCGGAGGGCGTACAGCCGCGGCGCGCCAGGATGCCGCGAGAGGCGAGGCAGGGCCTGCGGGCGGCGGCGGCGGGCCAGGCCCGCGGCGCCGCGCAGGTGTGTGCAGCAGCTCGCAGAGGCAGGCCGATCCGACGCCGCCCTTGCTGGCGCCGAGGACGGCGGCCGAGGTGGCCAGGCAGCAGGAGGGCAGCCAGCGGCCTGAGGCGGGCCCTGCCGAGAGAAGAGATGAGGTGGCTGCAGGTGGCAGCGGCGGCGGAACGCCCCAGCCAAACGAGGCCAGGGGAGTCCAGGTGCTGGCGGACGACGTGGAGGACTACAGCGTGGCGGCTGGCCCGAGAGGGCGAGCTGGCGGCAGGCGCGCAGACGCGGTGCCCCATGCCGCGGCACGCGGCGCGGCAGAGGCTGCGGGCGGCGGCGGTGGGCCTAGCCTGCGGCGACGCGCGCGTGTGCGCAGCAGCTCGCCGTGGCTGGCCGTGCTGACGCCGCCCTCGCAGTCGCCGAGGAGCTTGGCCCAGGTGGTCAAGCTGCAGGACGAGAGCCAGCGGCCTGTGGCGGGCCCTACGCAGGGAGGAGACGAGGCGGCTGCAGGTGGCGGCGACGGAGAGCCGTCCCCGCCGCGCGAGGCCACAGAGGTCAGGCCGCAGGAGGAGGTCCAGCCGCAGCCGCCCGCAGGGGAACCTGCTGCTCGATGCGAAGCAGGGGCTGCGGGTGGCGACGACGTGGCCATGGAGGGCGAGCTGCAGGAGGTGAGGCCGCCGCCCGCAGGTGGCTCTGCTGCTCGATGCGAAGCAGGGGCTGTGGGCGGCGGAGGCGGCGGGCCGAGGCCGCGGCGCGGCGCGCGGGAGCGCAGCAGCTCGCCAGGCTTGGCAGCCAAGGTGGCGAGGCTGCTGCGGGCCGCGCGGGGTGAGGCCTGGCCGACAGCCTCGGGCGCGTAGCTGCGCCGAGGCGCGGGCGCGCGTGGGGCGCGCGCCTCGCAGGGGCGGCCGTGGCTCGACGCGGTCCGCCTCACCCCGCGGGCATCATCCTCCTCCTCCTCCTGACCGAACGCCTGAACAAGAACCGTGAAGGGGGGTCGTCGCTACTCGGGGGCAGCGCCAGGGGGGGGCTGGTAGGCCCGCCGGAACTTCGAGGTTTTTGGTGCGTTCGTCGGTCTCCGGACGGCGTTCCAGCCTCGGGGTGGCCTCCAGCAGCTGAGCCTCGCCGAGGGCGCTCCGGGGGTTGCCCGGGTCGCCCCGGGCGGCCGCCGGGGACCAGACTTAGGACTTGAGGTCCGTCGGCGACGCCCTGCGGAGGGGGGGGGGAAGCGTCGCCGATAGCCCATGGGTAACGAGAGGGGACGTGATCTTATGGGCGGATCTCTCACTGCTGACTCGATTTTGTCAACCGGCGGCTTGAAGATTTGAGGCGGTGGAGGGTTCCGTGCGCCGTGCGCGCATCCTTCCCTGGACAGCGAATGTATCGCAACCAACCACATCTGATTCCAATTCGAAATCCACATGCGGTGGTTCCCAGGGCCCGGTCCCACCAAAGGCTGAATCCATCGTGGGCCAAGAAGGGTCGCACGAGGAAAGCCCTACGTTGGTGGTGGTGACATCTTTCCCCGCATGGGGAGTGGACGCTGCCAGGGCCCCCATGGCTCCAGGCACATGCCTAATGCAGCGGGAGACGGGGGCAGTTGAGTGCGAGTGCTGATCTTGCTCCTGGCTGGCTGCGTTGCGTGCGCCCCGTGTACGGAGGCAGCCGGGCGTGGGTCCGATTTCGGTCCTGCCCGTCGCGCGTGGAGCACGGCCGGCGACGGAGGCAGCCGCATGCGAGCGTTGGTGCTCGTCCCTGCCCGATTTCGTGGAGGGCAGCTCCTCCTCCTCCTCCTCCTCCTCCTCCTCCTCCTCCTCCTCCTCCTCCTCCTCCTCCTCCTCCTCCTCCTCCTCTCTCCTCCTCCTCCTCCTCCTCCTCCTCCTCCGCCTCCGCCTCCTCCTCCTCCTCCGCCTCCTCCTAGTAATTAGCCTTGCGTGCTCAGCGCGTTTGGCCAAAAGAGGACGTACCGTTCGGTCCACTGCGAGAGGCACGTGCCACACTGCCTGCTGCAGTAATTAGCCTTGCGTGCTCAGCGCGTTTGGCCAAAAGAGGACGTACCGTTCGGTCCACTGCGAGAGGCACGTGCCACACTGCCTGCTGCAAGAGAAATCTCCCGCGCGCACGTGGTTTTTGGGCCTCCGGTCTCAGCACCAGCTGCGTCGTGGTCCTCGCCCTCCCAGGGGCAGAAGGCGATATGCGTCTCTTCCTCGGCGGGCGGCCGGCGGAAGCTGGTTGGAGAGCCGCTCTGCGGAGTCTCCGCCTGTGGGCAGCTGGCGGAAGTAAACCGTGCCACCCGAGGGACGCGTCCTCGCTTGGGTGCAGGGCTCCCTCGGGGGAGAAAAAGATACGGATACGTGTTGTCCCCCTTCGTTTTCGGCCTCTCCTGGCCCTCCTGGGGGATCCTCGTTGTCACCGCCGGATTCGCTTCGAAATTCTGGTCAGAACGCACCCCAAGAGAGGTCCGGGGACAACACGTATCCGTATCTTTCCGCCCCCCAACTCCTGGAACGAGCCATACCACAGGCCATCTGCCTCGTGGGTGTGCCCCCGGCCGTCTCAGGGCTGCAAGAAGATCGAGGCGACATGCGCCTGCCCATGCCAAGACAAAGTTAATGTATGTGCGCCACCGTTTCGCCATCGATGGTTTCCAGGGCGACCCCGCTTCTGCCTTCCCTGTTCCCCAATCCCTCGGCTCGCGGTGCGTGCTCGAAGTTTGCCCTCCCTATGTAGGAATTAATCCTGTCCTCCCTCCTCTGAGGCTCCCTTCGGGCTTACACCCTTGTCCACACGATGCGTTCCTCCACGCTCCCTTCTGCTACTGAGGCAGCGCTACCAGTCGGAGGAGTGGTGGTGGGCTATTTCGTCGGGCGACCAGGCAACGGCACCGCCGCTGCCTCAGCGTGGCTCGGCGAGCTCGGAGACCGTGCGGACCAGTTCTACGCTCAGGGCGGCGCGGTTCACTTGTTGAGGGATGGCTGCGTTCTGGCCGCTGCGATCCCCAGTGTGTCTATTCTCAGCCCCCGCAAGCGCCCGCCCAAGTCTGGAGTGTCGACAGCCTGGGAAGCAGCCGCCCCCCGCCAACCCGCCGAAGCTCTTGCGAGTCCAGGGCCGTGCGCATGCGTTCGAGACGTCCGTCGAGCCCCTGCAGGGCACCCGCTTCTGGGAAGTGCTCTCGGGCCCAGGCGAGTGCTCCGGGAGCCTCGCTCAGCCGCCGATGTTCGGCGCCGGAGGTCCCGGCAATCGCCTGTGACGGGCCTGGCTTCCATCACCACCACAAGTTGGAGGGAGGAAGGAGGTGGAGGATGAGGAGGAGGTCGAAGAGGAGGAGGGGGAGGAGGAGGAGGAGGAGGAGGAGGAGGAGGAGGAGGAGGAGGACCCCCTCCCCCTCCCACTTTTTGTGGTGGCGGTGGAAAACAAGCCCACCAGCCTGCCATACCGAAGCTTCCCGAGAAGAGAGGCGAGAAGTCGGAAGAGCACCGTGGAACCACTGGCGCGCTCCAGAGGGGGTCTTGCCTCCCGGGGTGGTCGAAGGAGTTGGGCGTGTCTTCCTCGGCACGGCGGAAGCCGGCGGAAGCAGGTGCGGCCCAAACCGATGGGACCATTTGAGGTTCATGGTTTCAGAGCCTCCCTTGTGATTGGCCTGCAGGGAAGTCTGCGGTCCTGGGTCTGCGGTCGAGCAAGCAGATGGGAGGAAGAAACAAAAAGGACCACTATCTCGCTTTAGACACGGTCCCCCCTCGTTGTTGTCGCCGCCTGCAGATGATTTGCGGCGTCGGAACTGATTGGACGAAGCCTAGGACCAGCGACCTCCACCGAACGCCTTGTCGTTCGAGTGGTGGGAGTTCGAAGAACAAGTGGCCCAGGACTGTAATCAACCCGCGGGGCGATCCTGGTGATCACAAGAGGAGCCCTTTTCTTGACCCTCTTCACTTTCTTCTGCTTCCTCCTCCCTCCTACCCGTTCTCCTCCCTCCTCCTCCTCCTCCTCCTCCTCCTCCTCCTCCTCCTCCTCCTCCTCCTCCTCCTCCTCCTCCTCCTCCTCCTCCTCCTCTCTCCTCATCCTCCTCCTGCTCCCTTCTCGCTCCCTTCCGCTTGACCTATTGGGAGCAAGGAGGCTGGGGTGGCGTCAAATCGAAGAAGGACAAACTAAGCAAATTTCGGAGGTCCGCGCGACGTCTCTCGCGTCGCCCTGTGTGCGCCCTGCGCGAAAGCGAGAGGCGGCATCCAGCGCCGATCCGAGAAATGAGCGGGGACCTCGGACAACTTCACGTGTGCAGGCTCCTCTTTCGTGCTGCCGTCGCTGGGATCGTTTGGGGCTCGCTTCTGGAGGCGCAGCGCTCGGGACGGTTCGGCCATGCGCGGGCCCTCGGCCGGCGCAGCGTCCCTGAGGAGCTGCGTCTTCGCCGGCCCCTCGGGGCCTCAGAATTCCGACCCCGCCACGCCCCAAGCAGCCCTGCCTGCACGGGCCGTGCACGCGCCTTCCCATGCCCAGCGAGGGACGCCGGGCCTCCCAGGGAATCGGGGGCCCCGCGTGGCGTGGGCCCCCCCGCCGTGGCCGCGTGGAGCGTGCTCCCCGGGCCCTCTGCCGCAGTGCTGCCTCTCTTTGCGGCTCGCAGCGGGGGCCCCCGCAGGCGCGAGGAGGCCCGTCCCCAGGGACCCGTCTCTTCCGGTCTCTGGCGGCCCCGCGGGGCCGGGCATGGGGGCCCGGGGCAAGCCGACGATGAGCAGAGCCTTCCCTTGGCATCGCTCGGACGTGTGCATCGAGGAGCATCCTTGATCATTTGGCGAAAAAAAAACCACGCACGAAACCGACAAAAAAACACAGGGAATGGACGTCCAAGCGATGGCGAGTTTCCGTCGCTTCTTCGCCCAGGGGAGCAGCAGACTAGTCCAAATCCCTTATTACTCGTCCCCCGGGTCCGGTTTTTGAGGCGCCTTTTTTGTAGCTGGGGGGGTCCGGTGTATCGGGGCGTTTCTGTGGACTGGAGCGAAGGGGGTCCGGAATATCAGGTCGCATTTGGAGGGGGGTCCGGTTTTTTTGTGGGGTCGATTAGTAAAGGATTTGGAGTACGCAAGCATCGGGGGCGGGACAGAGCCTCCACCCCGACACGTCGATTCGTGCATGGTCCGTTGTCGGTTCTCGAGGGGGCGCCGCATCCGTCGTTTTCCAGGCTTGCGCCCGCCAGGTTTGGGCCCGAGGTCGTTTTCACTAAACCACTTGTTGCTAAAGGGGGTTCTGTCCTTCCCCGGAAACGCGAACTTCCGACGGTCCGCGCGGATGTCTTGTGTCGGCGCTGGACCCACCTCGTTGGCGCGCGGAGCGCGCCAGGGGTGGCGCCGGAGGCCCCGCCTCGGGGGGGAGGCCAGCGCCGATCCAAGACATCCGCGCAGACATCCGAAAGCTCATGCTTCTGCTGTTTTGGTCTGCTTCGCTCGCTCCGCGTGGAAGCGCACCAGCCTGAACCTGTCCCCTTCCCCTGCGATTGTCATCGCCTTGGGCTTGCCGAACTTCGGGTCGGCGGCGAGCGAGGGGGGGAAGTGAGAAGAAGGACGGCCTTCTCCGAAGGTTCGGTAGTCCCCCGGCCTTCTGAGAAGCTTTCCGGGCCTTCCCCGAAGGCCACGACAGCTCCTCGGAAGGCGCGAGGGCTCCAGAGACGCCCCGCCGCCTTCTGAGAAGGCCTTCTCCTTCCCTCTTCCCCCCCCCCTTCGCTCGCCGCCGAGTAGATGCTCTGGCTGTGGAGGGAGCCTCCCTTCGATCGCCTGGCCCCCCACTTGCCGCCAACCGGGATAGTGTTAGGTCGGGCGTGTCCCCCTACAGGGGGATTTTGGACGAAAACTAAAAAGTACCAAAACATAGTTATATAGTCAAAAATAGCATAAACAAGTCGTCTCCAGACTAATTTTTTTGGGGGGGTCTATTTTTGAATCCTCCTCCTGTAGAGGGACAGGCCCGACTGAAGCATGCTGATCGAGCACGAGGCGGGCTCGAAGTGCCCAGCCTGGGGCCCCGGCGCGCCGAGCCGAGCCAGCCGGGGAGTGCGCGCCGTCCCTCCGCACGTCGCCGCCCGTCGCCGCGCCCGCGCGCGCGCCGGCCGCGTGCCGCTGGCCGCCCGCGCGCGGCAGTCGGGGCGCCGATCGGGGACGACGACGACCACGAGGACGACGACGACGACGACGACGACGACGACGACGACGACGACGACGACGACGACGACGACGACGACGACCACGAGGACGACGACGACGACGACGACGACCACGAGGACGACGACGACGACGACGACCACGACGACGAGACCATCCGCGGCGCGGCCAAGGTCTCGGCCCCCTCGCCGCCGGGTCCTGGAGCTCCTGGAGGCCTCGCGCCGGCCCGTGCGCGGAGGCCGGGCGGCCGCCGCGCCGCGCGCGTGGCCGCGGGCCCCTCGCCCAGCGGGCGGCCAGGGCCCGCACGCCGCAGGAAGGTATGGCGGAGGAGCAGGAGGAGGAGCAGGAGGAGGAGGAGGAGGAGGAGGAGGAGGAGGAGGAGGAGGAGGAGGAGGAGGAGGAGGAGGAGGAGGAGGAGGAGGAGGAGGAGGAGGAGGAGGAGGAGGAGGAGGAGGAGGAGGGAGGAGGAGGAGGGGAGGAGGAGGAGGGAGGGAGGAGGAGGAGGAGGGAGGAGGAGGAGGAGGGGGAGGGGGAGGGGGAGGGGGAGGGGAGGGGGAGGGGGAGGGGGAGGGGGGGGAGGAGGAGGAGGAGGAGGAGGAGGAGGAGGAGGAGGAGGAGGAGGAGGAGGAGGAGGAGGAGGAGGAGGAGGAGGAGGAGGAGGAGGAGGAGGAGGAGGAGGAGGAGGAGGAGGAGGAGGAGGAGGAGGAGGAGGAGGAGGAGGAGGAGGAGGAGGAGGAGGAGGAGGAGGAGGAGGAGGAGGAGGAGGAGGAGGAGGAGGAGGAGGAGGAGGAGGAGGAGGAGGAGGAGGAGGAGGAGGAGGAGGAGGAGGGGGAGGGGGAGGGGGATGGGAGGGGGGGGGAGGGGGAGGGGGGGGGAGGAGGAGGAGGAGGAGGAGGAGGAGGAGGAGGAGGAGGAGGAGGAGGAGGGGAGGAGGAGGAGGAGGAGGAGGAGGAGGAGGAGGAGGAGGAGCGATTGTCGCTGTCCCACATTGTGTACGTATCCCCCACTACCCAGTGACTCCGGGAGCGACCGCTCCAGGAGTCGCCTAGCTCTTAGTTTGATCACACCCCAGGGCCGACCAGCCTTGGGGGGCGAGGGCGGCGTCCGCCAACTCTTGCGCCTTCAGGCATTCAGGGGGAGGAGGAGGGGGGATGGGGAGGAGGAGGGGGGGGGCGGAGGAGCGTGTCAGAGGGCCCCGTCCAGTCCCACGATGAGAGCCACTTGTGGCACAACTGGGCGTTGGGGTTGGCGGAGGTGGAGCAGGAGGAGGAGGAGGAGGTGGAGGAGGTGGAGGAGGAGGAGGAGGAGGAGGAGGTTGAGGAGGAGGGGGAGCAGGTTGATGGTGCGCCTCGAGAGGTGGAGCGTCGGGGCCTCTCGGGGCCACTTGGGGGCCTGCTGGTGTCTCAATGGCCCATGCGGACTCCCTCCCTTTCGTCCTCCCCAGACCTCGTCGACCTTTGCGAGCCGTCCGAACCTGACCCGCCGTAGATCGGGGTGCACAGTGGAGGCCCATGCCAAGAAACGACCTGCTAGCCTCCAGGGTGCCCTGGGCGTCTTGGGTTTCGATGGTTTTGCGATGGAAAGCGTGACGCTCCCATCCCCCAAGTCAATGGACGTCCTGGGGTCTCAGGGCTGGGTTTCTTGTGGAAGGTTTCTTGTGGACGGGCCTCCACTGCACGCGAACTCGCCAGCAGTGCCGGGGCGGGCAGCCCGCCCGGATGGCGGGACGAGCTTCCTTTGTGAGCGCCAGCGGCCCAGGAGCGCAGGCCGTTTTGACGGGCACGGCGGCGAGAAGCGCTGGCACGTGCACCCGCGCGCCTCGATCGAGCAAGCGTGCGAGAGAGAGAGAGAGAGTCAGGCGATCGCAAACATGGATCCAGGGGGCGTGGATCAGCGACGGGTCCCGCTTCCATGGGACACCGCGGACTTCCGCCGCTGAACGGGGCGGCACCGGCCGCCTTTTGGGGAGGGCACTTCCCCCGATCCATGGATTTGGCGACCGGCCAACAAGCACGCTCAGGATTTTGAAGTCGTCCCCGTATTGCTCACCTTTGTCAAGGATGTGTGCACTCTCTCTCTCTCTGGTCGGCTCAAAAATCATATGGTTGGCCGTTCCCCAGTCGTGAAGCGTGGTCGGGCAAGGATGGCACGCAGACGAATGGGTGGCTGCACCTTCAAACTCTTTCCAAGAATTTGGGTCGTCGGCGAAAACGCACCCTGTGAATTCAACCGAGGACACCGCGAGATCGGCATCACCATAAAATGCATTCCAGAACGGCGACCCAGGAACCGTGCCCTAGAACACCAGCTTCAGAAGCAGGAGCGTCTGAAGGAGAGAACCGTCCACACTGACATTAGCCTGCCTCCCCGACAGCCACGACCTAACAAGCTTCAAAAGAGGCTCGCACAACCCAGACGCGCTCAGCTTGTCCAAGAGACGGTCGGAATTGACGCTGTCGAGTGCTCTGGATACGTCCGAATGCTCCGGAGACGTCCTTGGCCGTCCCCGAAGGTTAGGAGGCAATTCCTGGGAGGTCTCCGGCAAAACAATTAGAGTCGATTGAGCCCGATCAAAAAGACATCGATCTGTATCAGACCAGACTATGCCCGGGATTGGGCTAGACTAGGCCTGGGATATAACCATACTGAAAGGGACCTTAGGCTGGACCAAGCGGGAGTATAATCAGACCAGGCCAGATTTCGACAAGTGATATGCCATGGCCGACTCTGAATCTAACCTTCCAGGAGTTGCACCGTGATACGAAGGGACTGAGGGTTGGGCGTTGCTCCTTTAGGGCGCAAAATGGGGGTGGCGGTGGAACGTGAAACTGTCGTACCCCTTTCGAGCCCCAAGGGCCCTTGCAGTGGAGGCCAGTCCACAAGAAACCTTCCACAAGAAACCCAGCCCTGAGACCCCAGGAAGTCCATTGATTTGTGGTGTGGGACCGTCGCGCTTTCCACAGCAAAACCATAAAACCCCAGAAACCCAGGGCACCCTGGAGGCAAGCAGGGCGTTTCCTGGCAAGGGTCTCCACTGTGTAGGGCCCCGAAGACGCACGAGATGTGTACGGTTCTCGAGGCCCTCCGTTTCATCGCCCCCCCTTCCATTACGCAACGTCTGCGAGAGGGCACGTCGGGGAGGGGACCGGCACAGGGGGGAAGGGAAGCATCGAGCTGGACTCGCCATGCATCGCCGATGGGTCGGCGACATGCCCCCCCCCCTGGTGAAACCGCACTGTCCTGGGCGGGGTGGGGGTATCTGGCCCCTGTCTGCGATGAATGGGCGATTGGGCGTCGCTGCTTCCCCGCCCACGAGCCAGCCCCCCCCCCCTTGTCAATGCACCGGGGTATGTCCCCTAGCTGCGGAGCACCGCTCTCTCTCTCTCTCTCTCTCTCTCTCTCTCTCTCTCTCCCTCTCTCGAACAGTCTAAGCATGAGTCCCACGAGCCTCCACTGTATGGGCACCTTCTCTTCCGAGCTGCCCCGAGCCTGCGAGCCCCGGAGGCGCGCCCGGCTGCGGGCAGGACGCGGTCATGGGCGACGCGTGCCCGCCGGGACGGTGGCTCGCCGGGGACGGCGAGGGCAGCGGCGGCGAGGAGGACGAGGCGATGTTCTCGGAGGCGGGCCGCCCTTCCTCGGGGGCAACGGCAAGGGGGAGGGGGAGTAAGGGGGAGGAGGAGGAGGAGGAGGAGGAGGAGGAGGGAGGAGGAGGAGGAGGAGGAGGAGGAGGAGGAGGAGGAGGAGGAGGAAGGAGGAGGAGGAGGAGAGGAGGAGGAGGAGGAGGAGGAGGAGGAGGAGGAGGACGGGGGAAGAGTACGGGGGAGGAGGAGGAGGAGGAGGAGGAGGAGGAGGAGGAGGAGGAGGAGGAGGAGGAGGAGGAGGAAGGCGGAGGAAGAGGAGGAGGAGGAGGAGGAGGAGGAGGAGGAGGAGGAGGAGGAGGAGGAGGAGGAGGAGGAGCGGGGGAGGAGGGAGGAGGAGGAGGAGGAGGAGGAGGAGGAGGAGGAGGAGGAGGAGGAGGAGGAGGAGGCGAGGAAGAGGAGGAGGAGGAGGAGGAGGAGGAGGAGGAGGAGGAGGAGGAGGAGGAGGAGCAGGAGGAGGAGGAGGAGGAGGAGGAGGAGGGAGGAGGAGGAGGAGGAGGAGGAACAGAGGAGGAGGAGGAGCAGGAGGAACAGCAGTGGGTTGCCACGTTTCGGAGTTCGAAATCCTGCCTCGCGGGCCCCGGCTGTTTTGTGCTTGTCTTCCTTGGGTATTATGCGCTCCGCCGCGCTGTCCGTTGCCCCTCTCGCGACTTGGGCTCCCAACTCTCGCCAACTTCAGTCGGCACGTTTCATGAGGTGGCACTCGAACCGCCATTTAGCCATCGAGGAGCAGAAATGGGAGTTGGGGAGTTTCGGTCCTCTCTTTTGCCTCTTTCTCTTGCCTGCTGCCCGTTTTCTTCAGCTGCACTTCTTCCTGCCAGCCAGCGGCTCCCGCAGCGGCCGCTCCAAGAATCGCCAGGCCATGAGTTTGATTACCCCCCCCAGGGCCAACCATCCCTCGGGGGATGGCTATGTCAGGGCGACTTTCTTGCCGTCAGTGGGTCGGTGGGTCAGGAGTTTGGGGCGTTGAGACTGGAGGAGCACAGTCGACACCGATGGGAGGGATGGGTCACCTTCCCAAAAGTATCCTCGCATCTGTGCCTCTCTTGGTCCATCTCTGACCCCTTTCCGACGGCCAGCCCCGCTCGAACAAGTTCGACATGGGAGTCCATGTGCGGGTCTGTGCCGCCGTTCATGTTGCGAGGTCCGACTGCATGTGAATTCATGCAGGCACCTTGGGCACCTCCCTTCGGGCTGTGTCGCCCAGGTGCTTTGTCCGGGCAAGAACTTGCATCCTCATCGCGCATCCTCATCCCCAGGCCCGCCCGCAGGAACAGGAGGAGGAGGAGCAGCAGGGAGCAGGAGCAGGACGGAGAGTCCGGCTGGCCAGGTCGAGGCAGAGGGCCCCGCCGCCTCCCGCCCGCCCTCCCGCCGCGTCGGAAATCGCCGGCGGCGCAGCTTGCGACCAGGCCTGGAGCGCGCCCGCTCCCGCCTCGCACAGCGACCAAGGCGCTCGCGCGCGGTCCCGCGTCCGACGGCCTGCCGAGGCGAAAAGCACGCGGGCCGCGACGGGGCGGGAGTGGCACAACAACTTCGCCGGCGACGACGGAGCATGCGCCGCGCTGACCAAGGCCTGCGCGGCGCTTCTGGGCGAGGCCGGCCTTCCGCACGTTGTTGCGTGGCGCCGCTGCCGCTGTCGCTGCCATGCGCTTCGGCTCGAATCGGGCCTGTCCCTCTACAGGGGGGAGATTCAAACATAGCCCCAAAATAGTCAGGGGACGAATTTTTGACCAGTTTTGAACATGTTTTGCATACAGTCGGCCCGGATTGGTAGGTCGACCCTGCCAGCTCAAGGGTACCCTCGTGTCCTGTGCCTCGACACGCGTGCCTCCTTACACTCCTATGGCGGTGTGGCCCTTCCGAGGGCCTGTCCAATCAAGGCCGACTGCATGTTCGGGGCACTTCTTATGGTTCCTTCCAGCTCCGCCTGCAGAGGGCACCCGCCTGGCCGGAGCTCCGGCGGCCGAGCCCCGCGCCGAGCCCGCGCGGGAGCGCCACCTCCGACCCCAAAGGGCGAGCGGGAGCCCCGGGCGATGGGCGGCACGTCGCCCGCAGCGTGCGGCCCCCGCCCCCCCCCAGACTTCGGGCGCGTGGCACACAGCTGCGTCGCGCCGAGGCCCTCGGCATCGCTCGGAGGTGTGCATGTCTACTTCGGCGAGGACCGTCGAGGAGCATCCTTGATCACCTGGCGAAAAGACCACGCACGAGACCGAACAAAACACAGGGAATGGACGTCCGAGCGATGGCCAGAGGCGGGAGCGCCAGTGTCAGGCGAGATCTGCACGGCGCCCAGGCTCGAAGAAGAAAACACCACACGAGCATAAACTTTTGGCGCTCCGCGCGGACTTCTTGGATCTCTGGGCCTGAGCCCCCCCGGCGGCGCCTCCGGCGCCGCCCCTGGCGCGCTCCTCCCGCCAGGGAGGGGGGTCCAGCGCGAATCCAAGAAATTCGAGCGGAGCGCCAAGAGTTTATGCTTATGTGGTGTTTTCTTCTTCTTCTTCTTCTTATTCTTCTTCTTCTTATTATTATTATTACAATTATTATAATTATTATCCTTCTTCTTATTATTATTCTTCTTATTGCTATTATTCGTATTAGTACTCTTCTGTTACAGGCGGCAACAACACGTTCGCCCGCTCGCGTGTCGACGACGAAACACGTGCGAGCCATCTGCGCCGCGCCCTGAGGCGGGAACTCGGCTCTCCAGAAACACACGAGCGCGACGCCGAGGCGGGAATGACACGTCGGCCTGTCGCGCGGGATGCGCGCCCCGCGCCCCACGCCTGCGACGCACGCTGCTCGACTCTCCAGAAGCACGAGCGCGACGCCGAGGCGGGAATGACGTGTCGGCCCGTCGCGCGGGATGCGCGCCCCGCCCCACGCCTGCGACGCACGCTGCGGAATGGACTGCGTACTGTCTACGCCGATGGGAAAAAGAGCATGCAGTCGAGGCCCACGCCAAGAAACGCACTGCTTGCCTCCAGGGTGCCTAATTCTAGTTCTGACTCTACCTCTGCCTCTGCCTCTGCCTCTGGGTTTCGATGGTTATGCGATGGAAAGCGCGACGCTCCCACGCCAAACATCGATGGGCGCCTTGGGGTCTCAGGGTCGGAGTTCTTGTGGAAGGTTTCGTGTGGACTGGTCTCCACTGTACGTAATGTCGACGTTGATGCGAAACACATAGTTGTTACATTGTTCTTTGATTGGGCGGCTACGAGCCACCCGAGGCCCAGAGTGGGATTCTAGAGTAACACGGAAGTCGAATAGGAGGAGGAGGAGGAGGCGGAGGAGGAGGAGGAGGAGGAGGAGGAGGAGGA